ACAATTACTGTTTAACAGTCTGTGTGGTGTGAGAGTCAATATAATGGGAGGGCAACCTCTGGTGGCAAGTGGATGGAAGTTCATGGACAGGATTCGTGAAAATTACATATCATTGAGCCATCTTCCATTTGCTGAATAACTGTTTTAAAATTATCCAAAGACAGCAAATTTTGTAATTTCAATTATTTTATTTTATGTTATTTTAGTATAATTGAGTAGGGATGTAACCGTACACATAATTTTCAGTTCGGGTCTTTTGGTTCGGTACACGTTATTTTACTTTACCTGTTAGTGATGTCTTAATTATTGAATGTATGCTTAAATAAATCTGTTATGAAACAAGTTATGACAGCCACTGTATAAATGAATATATTTCAACAACAAATAGAAATTTTATAATTTAGAAGTTATTTAAAAACTCCATTATGTACAATTTACATGTTTGCATAAAATTTCTTTTTAAGTTGACTGTTGATTATTATATTTAAAACAAATTATGCTTTTAGTTTTAGTTGTAATTATTGATATAAAAAAAAAACAGTTTTTTAACCATATTGCTTTTTTTTTTAAATAATTTTTTTATATATTAAATTTTATTTTGGTAACATTTCCGTAACATTTATTATTGCTTTTTTATAGTTTTAGTTTTAGTTTCAGCAAATGTCCAGCAAAAAGGTTCAAATAAAACACTTAATATAAAAAAATAAAAATTATATTTGAAGAGTTCAGATGCAAAAGCCTCTAAATGCCGTCTGAAATTTTCTTCTAAAATTAGCATTTTTATCAGGCTCCAATATTTGTTCAGTTATTTCACTTTAGTTGCATAGAAAAGCACCGATACTGTACATTGCCATTAGAGTAACATTACTGAACCTAAACATAGGAGCCTGATTAAAAATTCTCATTTTAGATGAAAATTTCAAACGGCACTTAGAGGCTTTTGCATCTGAACTCTTACTCTGTTTTCACATCATGTGACAATTAACAATCATCAGAGAACTGTGCAAGTGTGTAGTTAAATTACTGAAATATTGCTCTAAAACATGTCTTCAAAAAATATTCGATGTCTAAAGGGTTCGGCTGAGGGTTTGGGAATCCCTGGCACAGAGTGTTATTTGTAGGTATGTTTTAATCAGCACTGATCTCGTTTTTAAATGTTTTCTATGGCAGGAACTCTGTTTGCGCAGAAGTCTGCGTCTGCTGCACCTGGACCCAGCTTCACCTTCTCTAGCTCCGCCCATTTTCTTCTAAAATTAGCATTTTTATCAGGCTCCAATATTTGTTCAGTTATTTCACTTTAGTTGCATAGAAAAGCACCGATACTGTACATTGCCATTAGAGTAACATTACTGAACCTAAACATAGGAGCCTGATTAAAAATTCTCATTTTAGATGAAAATTTCAAACGGCACTTAGAGGCTTTTGCATCTGAACTCTTACTCTGTTTTCACATCATGTGACAATTAACAATCATCAGAGAACTGTGCAAGTGTGTAGTTAAATTACTGAAATATTGCTCTAAAACATGTCTTCAAAAAATATTCGATGTCTAAAGGGTTCGGCTGAGGGTTTGGGAATCCCTGGCACAGAGTGTTATTTGTAGGTATGTTTTAATCAGCACTGATCTCGTTTTTAAATGTTTTCTATGGCAGGAACTCTGTTTGCGCAGAAGTCTGCGTCTGCTGCACCTGGACCCAGCTTCACCTTCTCTAGCTCCGCCCCCAGCCAAAGCCCCGCCTCCTCCTCCAAGGGGCGGAGCTCCGCGGAGCCATCCACCAGCGACTCTCCGTAACCCGATTACTGAAAATCAAACTGTTGCACAACCAGTACCTCAGTTTCTCCTGTCCGCACGTTTGCAAACATTTACATGGACACACATGCATAAAATAACACGGCTGGGCCTCATTCACGAATCATGAGTTAATCGTTCATATACAGTCTTATGCAAAAATCACAATCAATTCAATGCAACAGACTGGATTGATGAACGATTCACATAGAAATTCATGCATTCGACGTCCGAAAACGCTAAATACAATCAGAACGTTCAGCCGAACGACGGGCAGGTTTCACAGAACTTGGAGATTTTTTATTTAGAGTGTGTTTCGATCTGTCTTCTGATTATGTTTCGTGACTTTATGATCTTTTTCACTCAAGGTTCCTAATTTTACCTCGAACGTTCAGCGGTGGAACGTCTCTTACCTCAGGATCTGTAGTTTAGGTTTTCTCTGAATGAGTTTTATTTTTTTGTAGAATTGGTTTGAATTGGTGGGGATCAGAAACGCTCTGATTCTCCTCTATGCGTCGCCCGTCTGGACCCGAGCGTGTGATCGTTAATCTTATCAGGTTCTTGGGAATATATCTACTATGCTGTTCTGCAGCGTGTTTGTTTGATGATTTCAGAGCCTGTCTGTCTTCAGGAACAACCGTCAGATACCTCAGAAACCAGCTGAATGTCTCAGTAGATGTTTAAACCAGCAAGCGGCCTTCTACGGGATCTGCAAAAACCAATCATTTCATCTGGATCTCAGGGCAGGTTTTATAAATGTGGGTGAATCTCGTGAAAATCTAAAGAAAATTTATAACATAATATGCATATTTTAGTTTTTCTTTTATATGCATATATATGTATATGCACCTATTTACATACATATTTTAGATTTTAATAACTGAATCTCATGATCTCATCAAATTTATAAGAAATTTAGCATCATTTCAGAAGTTTGGGATCAGTAAGATTTTTAAGGTTTCTCTCGTGAAGGGAGGGAAAAATTTAATATTGTGAAATATCATTATAATGTAAAATAACGTTTTTCTATTTTAATATACATTAAACTGTAATTTATTTCTGTGATCAAAGCTGAATTTTCAGCATCATTCCTCCAGTCTTCAGTGTCACATGATCTTCAGAAATCATAATAATATGCTGATTTATTATCAGTTGTGCTGCTTCAGCCCAAACTAAGTGTATATACATTTGCATGCATATAATATTCAAATAATAGTCGCAGCGTAAAACATCTTAATAATATTCCTAAAACAGGCATCATTTTGCTAATGCAAAATATCGTTTCTTATTTCTTCCTGTTGATTTTGGATCAAAACGTCGTGTTTTTTTAGAGGTTTCGTGAGATTCACTCATGAACGGTGTGATGAAGTTCTCAGCGTAACCCTCCATTCATTCCTCAAGCACAGCAGCAGCTCCGCGCGACCATCGTCCTCTCATCCACACTGACGCTTGATGTTTTTGTCTCGCATTTTTGCTTTCCGTAGCAGGAAGGCGTCTCTCTCAGGAAGTACTGTGATGTTTTGAAGTGAACTCTCGTTGTTTTTAAGATGATATAAATGCATAATCGGTGGTGAAGCTGTGGAGATTTACACTACATACCTCATGCTGCCGTGAATCCCTCGAGCTGGACTTTCCTTTCTCTTTGTGGCGAAACCAAACGTGAACTGTTGCATTCGTACAATCAGGTGGCCAAACCTGCTTACCGTAACCAAACCAAACATGCCTTCTTCAGCTGCTGCACAGCTAGAAACCAAAGACCGGATGGCCTCACAGGTCAAAGGTCACCGTGACGGGTCTGTATGATGGTGACGTAATGGGTCAGGTGACCAGATCTGGCCATATTGATGTGCTTTCTGTCTATTCTTTTCTGTTCCAGCTCTGATCCTTCATGTTTGCTGCAGCTCTTCTTCTGTTTGAACTGGATTAAAAACCTTGTGCAGATTCTTTTGTGCCAGTTGCATATTTGTCTGCTTTTGTGTCTAATGCTTTAAAATGCTACAGGTTTTAGAGCCATAAATGGTTTCCATCCAGAAACAACGTCACACTTTCCCACTGATGTCACGGAGTAATAAAATTAAAAAGAAAATTGCGACTTTTTATCACACAATCCTGCAATTCTAAGTTTATATCTCACGAATTTGACTTTTTTTCCTTGCAAACTGTGAGAAAAATGTTAACTCGCAATTAACTTTTTTTTTATTCAGTGGCAGAACAAGAAAAAAAAGTCAGATTTGCAAGATGAGAACTTGCAATTACATTTATTTATTCATTCTGTGGCCGAATAAGCTTCCATATAGATCAGTGGTCCACAGGTTTTTAACATTTGATTTCTTCAGTCCTGAATATATATACGGTGTGTCTTGGGTTTAAAGAAGAAGCTGTGTGTGTTTGGCAGGAATAATGTTTCAGAGTAAAAGAACCTACAGTCAAAGTGATGCCCGTATTCATTTAGTTTAACCTTTCAAGACATAAAAAAGTATTACAATCACGTTGATTAAAAACAATGCCCCTGCAAATATCCAGCTTTTTCTTCAATGCGCATGTAAGCCTATGGGCGAGACTTCCGGTTCATTAGCTGCTATAAATAACAAGGAGAATAACAACTTGCAGTAAATGGTAAAACTGTTTGCACTACAAACCAGTGTGTTCATAATTAATATAATACATTAAAATATTATGATAAGACACACCACTTTTCAATATCAAGCAGCAAAACGAACTGTTTTGTACAGCTAGAAATATAGCTGGAGGCTGACCGGAAGCTAGACCCATAGAATTTAC